TTATACTATGATACTTTTAACCCCTCATTTATATTAATTGAAAAAAATAACAATTATTTAAAGTCAAATTATAACGTTTTATTAGTTCTGTTAATTGATTGTTAGTATTTCGTTAATGAAATTAACAAATAAAATTGAATTTAAATTTCATGTTTTTTATAACAGAATGTTAATAGATGCTAACAGTGAGTTAATTAACAGAATTAATAAGAAATTATAATCCGATGTTAAGCGATGGTCATTTTCTTTAATTTGTATAGATAAGGGGTTAAAAGTATCATAATATAATGTGAGGGATTAAAATTTATAAATTTATTAAAATAAAGGACTAAAAGTATCAATAAGCTCTAAAAGTGTTGATGAGAGGTTAAAACCTACAAAATTATTAAAATAAAAAGTTAAAAGTAGATTTTTGTCGAGATAAGAGACCATTTTATTGTAAATATTTTTATATAACTTTTGTATATTTAATATTAAAGATTTTAAATAAATAAAAAATAATTATTTAAATGATGCATAAAATTATATAAAATATAAAATAAAATAACTATCTCAAAATTATTTTTGAAAAAAAACCCTCCATTCCAATTTAATTTTCTTAATTTTATTGTACACGAATGTTTAAAAATTATATGTTTTTATAATATGAATAGAAATTTGTTTGTGTATAAATTTTATGCATTATATTTATATAAAATTTTAATTATTTATTATTTATTTTTAACATTTGAGATTTATTATTTTTTTGATAAAAAAATAATTATATTTAATAAATATGATAAAAAGTAAATAAATCTTAATTATTGAAAGTGAAAAAATAAATAATTAAAATTTTATGTGAATATGATATGTAAAATTTATATATGAGTAAATCTCTACTCTTATAATATATGAGTGATTTTTTAAAAAAATATATACATAAATTTTGTAAATAAATTTCATTTTATAAAAAAATCTCTAATTATATATATTTTTTATTTTAAAAAAGAGTAGGGATACACGTACACATAAGTTTTACATATTATATTTACATAAAATATTAATAATTTATTTTTTCACTTTTAATTATTGAGATAGAGTAGGGATACACGTACACATAAGTTTTACATATTATATTTACATAAAATATTAATAATTTATCTTTTCACTTTTAATTATTGAGATTTATTTATATTTATTAAAAATAATTATTTTTTTATCTAAAAAGTTGTGAAAATTTTTAATTATTAAAAAAATGAATGATTAAAATTTTATATAAATATTATATAGAAAATTTAAGTGTAAATAAATTCTTATCTTTTAAAATATATATACGGTAAAATACGCATCAGTTCTACCTTAAAAACAAATTGGAGTCCCAATTAAAACGACGTCATTCTCTTAATCCCCAACCCCTCCTTTTGGCCCCTTTGCAATCAGCTCCATCATCTCCTTCGATTACTTCTCCATCACCTCCCATCTCCATCACCTCCTCCGACTCCTTCTCCATCGACTCCTCCGATTCCTTTGATTCCACTGCAATTCATCATCTTCGTCGATAGTAACCTCTACTTCTTTTTGCCTCTTCTGCATCTCTATCTCCATCTCCATCTCCATTGATTCCTCCAATTCCTTCAATTTTTCAAATGCAATCCCACGCCAGTAACTTAATCCTCAGCACTCACTATTTTAACCCCATTTTGCTGCTGCAATTCATCATCTCCATCGATTCTGCCATTGTAATTCATCTTCTCCATCGATGGTAACAAAGAAGGGATCAAAGGACAGTAAATGCTTTGTTTCTTACTAAGCTCTATCTATCCAAAAAAGTCGAAAAAATCTCTCTTTTTTGTTGGGTCTCTTTTTAATGATCAGTCCCTCGAATTTTTAAGATACAATCACGCCATTGACGGTAATAGAGAAGGAATTGAAGGAAATGACCTTCTAAAATTCAATGATTTACCCTTTTTGTTCTCCAACATCAATAAGGACAGAAAGTTTTTTTGTTTTCTTACACCAATTTCTTATTGAATGTAGAAAAGAGAAGGTTGCTTTTAGGAGTTGTTTGTTTATTCAATTAAATTTGGTAGCTGAGCCATCTTTTCTTAGCTATCTAATGATAAAATTCTTAAACTGGTGGCTTGTAAATTATGTAAATTATTTGTTTATGCTATAGAATACTAGCATTTTGAGGACTGAAGCATGCAAGTGACTGTAGTATGAAATTGAAGGAATTGGAGGAGTCAATGGAGATGTGAGGCGATGTAGATGATGAATTTCAGGGGTTACTTCTCTAACTAATGCAATTGTTTGAAAAATTGAAGGAATTGGAGGAGTTGATGGAGATGGGAGGTGACGAAGATAGAGATGGAGCTGATTGCAAAGGGGGCAAAAAGAAGGTGGGGCTGAAAGAAGGTGGGTCTGGGGGATTAAGAGAATGACGTTGTTTTAATTGGGACTCCAATTTTTTTTTTAAGGTAGAATTGATGCGCACTTTACCGATATATATTACTTAAAAATGCATTTATTATAAGTTAAGATAACTAAATTAAAATAGAGAATAAGTTTACCGGTTCCTAAAATTATAGGCAGCACGTGATTTGATTGGTAAAACCGATATTAACTTATTAATAAATTAATCAGTTGGTTAATGAACTGACCTTTGATCTTCATCGCCTAAATAGTTCACCAGTTAGAATTTTACGTTATAGGCATATAGGCGTAGTGGCATAGCCACTAGCCCAGTATTTTGGAATTTATTTGGTAGGCTATGTTTCCCTATTCCTATTTCCATTCCTTCTAGTTCCTTTAATTGTAACAAATCATTTATATTTTAAAAAATGAAAATAATTCTCTAATTAACTTTTAAGGCTTGAGATATGTTTGTGTAAATAGATATGATAATTTCCTTCGCATCTTGTGAAACTATGTAGAGATGAAACTTTTCAAAAATGTTTCTCTTTATGGGGCAGGAATGAATGTAATTTTTTCCCAACAAAATTTTTTTGGCCAACTTTTAAAACTTTACATTTATAAATTGTGAGTTCAATCTCCTTCGTAATTACTTGCTTAAAAAATAAAAATAATAATAATAAATTTGGTTAATGTTGGTTAATCGAATACGTGACCAAAGTCATGTTGGATCGATTTTTGGTAGCTTAATTCCGTAATTTGAAGCACCGACCATAAAATTAAGTGAAATAAAAATTAACAAGCTAAACTAGTTCAAAACCAAACTCCGAGTTGGGTTCAAGCTGGATCCTAATATAACTCGAATTGAGGGCTGAACGAACTCGAGTCTGTAGGCGTATGTGCTTGGTTTTTTATTTATATTAATATCTCCATATTTGATAATTATATTAAATTTAATTAATTTAAAATTGAATTACATTAAAAAAATTTTATAAATTTTTTTTAATATTTATTTTTTCATTTATAATACTAAAATGCAAGATCTTATTTTATAAAAATTAAAAAGTTTCAATTCAGACCAACAATCAACAAGTCGTTGGCACGCATAGGTTTGGTTCGCAAGCATGAATTTGTTTTCCTTACAAGACTGACCACCACACCCCACGTGGAATCTTTACATGCCAATAGAATGAATCCACAATATAAATGAGGATCATGAGATAAAACACTCGGGAT